AGAGAGAGCGAGAGAGAAATAGAGAGAGAAAGAAAAGACTGAGAAACATATTAGGGCCATGTCACTGATCTTCAGATGAGGAGTATAAGTGCATACTTTATGCTTTATAACTTGATTAGACTGTTAAGGAATTTTAATTTCATGAAAAATAGTATGCCTGAATACCTGATCTAAAGTGATTCACTTTCACAACGTATTACAAATGCATTAAACACTCAGTATACCCTGCACTCAATTGTTATGGTGTTAAGCGTTAGTTAGTGTTGATTGCGTTCCGTTTGGCTTGTTTTATAAATTGATTTGAGCTTCGATACCGCAAGTGATTTAGTTAATTGCTCCATTCCGCTCCACATTAGCAGCGCGTTGATTGATGTTTGTTTATAAATGTTTTGACCCTCTGTTGTTGTTGTTGTTGTTGCTCCGCAGTTTTAACATGCGGCTGCTTCTACTGCTCGTGGCCAGTTGGGCGGTGCTGGGCTTGACCCTGGCCGACTCGAGCTATAACCATTTTCGGCTGCCCACGGCGCTGCGGCCCCAGAAGTACAATTTACGTGTCTTGACGCACTTTGAAGACCCGGACAATCTGCGTTTCGAGGGCGATATGAAAATCCTGTTCAAAGTGCTGGAAAACGCGAATAACATCACGTTGCACGCGAAGAATTTGACGATCGACGAGTCGCTCATTACACTGCGCGACACATCGAGTGCCAACAAAAAGAACTGCGTCTCCGGCACGGAGGTGAATGCGGTCCATGATTTCTATGTGATGCGCACCTGCGAGGAGCTCGTGGCCGGAGATGTCTACGAGCTGACCGTGCCATTCGCCGCCGAGCTCAACCGTCAGCTGGAGGGCTACTACAGAAGCTCCTACATTGATCCCGTTACGAACAAGTCCCGGTAAGAGACCCGCAAATGTTGCCTGGGGAACTACGTTAGTAGTGTAAGGCAAGAAATATGGGAATGAACTTAGGAAAATGGTCTTTAGAAAATATTACTTAAGAGAATTACCAGGGAATATATATAGAACTATTTACGCACCGGACAGCGGACGCACGGATAGAGGGACGGTCAGGTGGAGGGTCGGACGGACGGGCAGGCAGAAAGACGAACGTGCGGAAAGACATAAGAACGCACGGACAAAAGGATGGGCATTCTGACTGACAGGATGCACGGACAAAAGTTCGGACAGACGGACGGGTACAAAGACGGACAAAAATGCAGCAAGATATGGACTGTACAGAACCTAAATAAACTTGGGTACTCTGCGTAAATTTTGGTATGTTAAATTTCTGAAAATCGAAATAATTCAATTGACACTACCATAGCTGCATGACAAAGTTGTTGCCACAATAATTCACAATTATTTAGCTACACTAATGCTATGCCTAAGTTCTTATGTAATTTTAAAAATATTCTCTTACAATATCTTCAAATTCTCACTCAGCTGGCTGTCCATAACACAGTTCGAGCCAGCATCTGCGCGCTTGGCCTTCCCCTGCTTCGATGAGCCGGATTACAAGGCGCCTTTTGTGGTTACACTTGGCTACCACAAGCGCTTCAACGGACTGAGCAACATGCCCGTCAAGGAGATAAAGCCCAAGTAAGACCGGTTGGCCAGTTGACAGACGGTTAGACTATATATAGAATTGTACGATATAATTTGCAGCGAACAAATTGTGGATTATATTTGGTGTGAGTTCGAGGAGTCGGTGCCCATGTCCACCTACTTGGTAGCCTATTCGGTCAATGACTTCTCCCACAAGCCCTCCACGCTGCCGAACAGCACGCTGTTCCGCACCTGGGCCCGGCCGAACGCCATCGAGCAGTGCGACTATGCGGCCGAGGTGGGACCCAAGGTGCTGCAGTACTACGAGGACCTGTTTGGCATTAAGTTTCCGCTGCCGAAGATCGATCAGATAGCCATACCGGATTTCAGTGCTGGGGCTATGGAGAACTGGGGTCTGGTCACGTACAGGGAGATCGCTCTGCTCTATTCGGCTCAGCACTCGTCGCTGGCGGACAAGCAGCGCGTTGCCTCGATCATTGCCCATGAGCTGGCCCACCAGTGGTTCGGCAATCTGGTCACGATGAAGTGGTGGACGGATCTGTGGCTGAACGAGGGATTCGCCACATATGTGGCCAGCTTGGGTGTGGACAAAATCAATCCCGAGTGGCGTTCCATGGCCCAGGAGTCGCTCAGTAATCTGCTGGTCATCTTCAGGAAGGACGCACTAGAGACCAGCCATCCCATATCGCGACCCATTGAGCTGGTTACTGAGATCCAGGAGAGCTTCGACCAGATCTCATATCAGAAGGGCTCCACAGTGCTGCGCATGATGCACATGTTCTTGGGCGACGAGTCCTTCCGCTCGGGCATACAAAACTATCTGCAAAAGTTCTCCTACGGCAATGCCGAGCAGGATAATCTCTGGGAATCGCTGACAGAAGCGGCCCACAAATTCAAGGCGCTGCCCAAGAGCTACGACATCAAGCGCATTATGGACTCATGGACTCTGCAGACGGGGTGAGTGCTCATACACCAAAATTTTTGACTCACTAGACGAATCTCTAATCTGTAAACCCTTCACAGCTATCCCATTATCAACATTACCCGGGACTACTCAGCTGGCAGTGCCAAGCTCAACCAGGAGCGTTATCTGCTGAACACTCAGATCTCACGGGCACAGCGAGGCGGCTGCTGGTGGGTGCCACTCAGCTATACAACCCAGGGGGAGCGCGACTTTACGAACACGGCGCCCAAGACCTGGATGGAGTGCAGCAGCTCCGGCGAAGTGCTGCCCAAGACGATAACGGGACTGCCCGGCAAGGATCAGTGGATCATATTCAATACCCAGATGACGACGCTGTACAAGGTCAACTATGACGAGCGCAACTGGAAACTGCTCATCGACACGCTCACCAATGGCGACTTCGAGAGCATTCATGTGATCAATCGCGCCCAGCTGATTGACGATGCCTTCTACCTGGCCTGGACGGGCGAACAGAACTATGACATCGCCATGGAACTGCTGGAGTATATGAGACGCGAGCGCGAGTACCTGCCCTGGAAGTCGGCCTTTGAGAATTTGAAGCGCCTCAGGGGTATCATCAGACAAACGCCCAATCTGGAGTTCTTCAAGGTTAGTTGAGTTCCATGTATATTTCCAGACATGGGTCAAGATACACTCTTATCCTGCTACACACAAGACAACGTAACCCAGAGCTCTCATTCTAATTTTTATTTGAATTGCAAACATTATGCGGCCCGACACTAAATTCCCAATGTCAAAGTTGTATTTTTTCGTAAGTTCATTCCAGACCAGATCAAAACAAAGTCTCAAATTCATTTCGAATTCTTTTCGCACTCAATCTCTTAAAGACTTTCTCTCTCACTCTCTCTCTTTATCTCTGTTTCTATATTAAGTAAGATGTGGCAGACGGTCAAGACCGTCTGCATCTAACTCGTTCACGTTGAAAGCTATCGAGTTCTTGGCATAGCATAAGCTATACATAGATTTTAGATTAAAAGTCTCTAGTTCCTGCAGTGCACAGAAATGAATTATGTTTGTACTGTAAATAATATGCCTCCTATCCTAGAAAGTCTTAAAGTCATATGAAAGTCCATCTAAGTCTCTAGTCTCAGCATACACTCTTTTTGCTACGTGAACGAGTAGAGATGGATAAAAAAAATTCCATTCGCATTATATGACGTCCCTCTTCAACGTTTATTCACAGCGTTATCTGCAAAAGCTAATCGAGCCCGTTTATGAGCATCTGAATGGCTTGAATGACACCTTCGCCAACATTGAGCAGCAGGACCAGGTGCTGCTCAAGACCATGGTGGCCACATGGGCGTGCCAGTATCAGGTGGGCGACTGTGTGCCCAAGGCACTGAACTATTTTACGGCCTGGCGTAGCGAGCAGGATCCGGACAAACAGAATCCGGTGCCCATCAACTTGCGGCAAACGGTCTACTGCACCGCCATACGGCATGGCGACGATGCCGATTGGAATTTCCTGTGGATGCGCTACAATAACTCGAACGTGGCTGCCGAGAAGCGCACGATTATGTCGTCGCTGGGCTGCACGCGTGAGGTGTGGCTGCTGCAGCGCTACCTGGCACTCACCTTTGAGCCGAAGCAGGGCATACGCAAACAGGACTCGATGTGGGCCTTCCAGGCGGTGGCATACAATGAGATTGGCTTCCATTTGGCCAGAGATTACTTCATGAACAACGTGGACTTCATCTACAAATTGTAAGCGATTCTCTCGAATCAACATGTAATTATATTACTAACTATTTTTCCACCACAGCTACAGTCCCATTGTCAAGGACATGTCGCGGCTGTTGCCGCCCTTCTCGGAGCAGACCTTCCAGCAGAGCGATTTCGATGATTTCAGGAATTTCGTCAGCGAGCACAGAAGTTCACTGAAGGGACTGGAACAGGCCATACAGCAAACCCTAGAGACCATGCTCACCAATGTCCAGTGGAAGGAACGCAACTATGACCAGGTCTCGGTCTCCATCAGGAGTTTACTTGACAAACCAACAGAATAAAACAAAAACTTAAAAAAAATGAAAACAACATGAAATAGAGGTGTTATACTCCATAGATAACGTCAAATAAATCATTTCGTGCGCAAGCCCTCATCAGCTAAATGAAAACTCTCTCGAGCATGACACAAATGTAATGTTCCAATAAAGAATATTAAAATAATTATATAATACCAAAAAACGTCAGTTGTTAATTATGTTTTGGGTTCTTTAACAGTTAAGATTGTAGAGGTTAAAAATTAAATAAGCATAGTACGCTAGAAAGTTTTAAAAGCTACATTTTTCGGTCAGATTACGTCCTTTCATGCTTCTACTACAGCAACTTAAGGTCCATGGGTTCTACCCAGAATTTATCAGCTCTCCAAAGAGAATTTCTCTCACACTTCTTGACCTTAAGAATTGAGGCATCCAGATACACACAGATAGCCAATATAATGTACATAGATTATGTTGTATATTTCGTATATTTAAGCATGTTTTATTATGCTACTCAATCATAATAATAATAATCATAATCATAATCCATAATTATCGTAATAATAAAAGTAATTGGAATTAAACGGCGCTTCTTCAACACGATTTTGTGGAAACTTCAATTATTGTTAGGGTTTGGATTTTTGTTTGATTCCAATTGTTGTTTTATTGGAATTGTTAGATCTTACAAATTACAAGTACAAGCTAAATAAATATGTATGTGTGTTCTGTGTGTGTTATGTATTTGTGTGTTTGTAAATGTTAATATCACTAAAGCAGCGCTCCTGAAATGACGTAACTAAACCCCTAACTAAAGAGCTGAACAGATTGCATTCGGTATTATTATGAAATTTAATTTTTATTATTAATTAATATAATTAGCATAGGTGTATGTGTGAGTGTTTTGTTGTGTATTAACATACATGAAGTTGTGTGTCTCTGTGTTGTTGTTGCTATCCTTATTTTGCTTTAGTTTGTCCTATGAAAAACATGAGTATAAACTTTTATTACATTTATAACAATTCTCTGATTGACTTTCAATTTTATGCACTTTTGTGAACGTGTGTGTGTGTTGGTTGTGTGTTGTTGCTCTTCTCCTTCTTCTATTAGCTGCTGTTGTTGTTCTTCTCAATTGGCCTAAAAGACGGGCTTTTATTGGTTTGCATTAAATTGTAACAACTATTTAACACTTGATATATGTATGCTTGGGCCAATATGTTTATATTTATATATATATATATATATATATATAGAAATATATCTATTACTATGTCCAGATGCATTGATAATCGTTTTTATTAATATGTACGTATATATGTATTTGTTTTTATGTTTATGTAGAACAAAATATTTAGCTACTGCTTGAATTACAAGTTGCCGAAGCTGCCTTCAGGCTGAAACTGCCTTTAGGCTATTTCTTCTTTATGGAAGTTATGCACAAAACGGATTTATTAACTATATTCAAAAGATGTATTATCATATTTGTAAATTACTTATTGAATTGAGCTTCTGTTTATGTTAATTTACAAACGGCTTATCGAGATTTGATGCGTGTGTTTTTTCATTAGTATTTCACTGAGGCGCGAAACAAGTTTTTGCATAGCGTTCGTAACGTGTTAAATTCGTGTTTACAATTTTTGCTTTGATTTCAGCTTTAATTGTTATGTGAACAAATGAATTTCCAAGACAAAATTAAAATTTAGTGTTTTCATAGCAAATAAAAGCAACAATACTTAATGTATGCTAAACTCAAAATAGCGTATATGTATATATATATATATATAGTATATAGACATGTATTAACGTAAAAAATGTTTTTGAACTGAACGCAAAAGTACATTGTAAATGCCATGTGTCAAACTAATTGAATTTGTTAGCCAACGGCTTTAACTGGACCACAACTAACCTACAGAGTTGCCCAGGCCCGAAACAAGGGCTTTGGCTGGGCGTGGTAATTATAATAGATATATATATATCATTTTCATTTCATTCTTATTTTTTTTTTTATCTTTTTTTTTTTGTAACTGGCTTCAGTCATAAGGGTATTTAGTTTTAAACATTTTGTTGCTGTTTCGTATATAAGAGTTATTAAATGTAGTTTACTTTCTTGTTAATTGTTTTTATGCATGTAGATAAACGATAGAGCTTAAACGTGTACAATTGTTTAACAAACAGACTTCTGCTTCAACTTATGCCCACACTCGTGTGACCTAAACTAAGAGACGTATTTGTATATGTTTCCTATATATTTATATATATAATGTACTTTTGAATGTAAGTTCCTACATAGCTGCTCTATTTATATGGTTGCTTATTCAATGCTGCCGCTGCTACTGCTGTTCATTTAGCTGCTTGTCTTACATCTGTTTTACATTTGATGACCTTGCGCAGCGTCGCAAAAACTTTTCAAATCTTGTGCAAGCCACTTTGCAGATTATCATTTGACCAGGAGCTCTGCGGTAGCTGCTGCGCCGGCACTGCTACTGCTGCTGCTGCTGCTGCTGCTGCTGCTGCGGACGACGCCGACACTGCTGACGTGGGCTGCGGTGGTGGCGGTGTGGATGATGAGCTCGGCTTCTGTGGCGTCGCCGGCTGCAAATCGAAGCGTGCATAGAACAGTAAATATGGTGTAATTGTAATTTTGCGCGTCGGCGATAGCAGCTCCTCGAATTCCCGTTGTGTCATCGCCTTGATCTTATCATCGTCGCACATATACCAAATGGGCTCGCTGCTGTTGCCCTGCGTATAGTTGGCTTTGACTCCGCCGCGCCCCGTGCTGCCATAGCCCGTGGGATACGACGCACAGCTGTTGGTGCTGCTGCCATAGCTGAGATTGCTGTTGCTGCCATTCTGCAGGGATTCCTCGCTGAAGTCGCTGTTGCTGGCGGTAGTGCTGCCCGCCATGCTCGCCTGTTGGCTGCAGCACAGGCGCATCGCGCAACAGTTGATGCCTTGGCAGGTGGTGTTCATGCTGAGCTTGCCAATGCCATTGGTGATGGTCTTGCTGGTGAATCCGTTCACTTGCTTCACATTTTTGCTCATGTCGCCGCTGCTGGATGCTTTGTTGCGGCCGAATTTCATTTTCTTCATCAAACTGGTGCCCGACGAGGCCAAAGCCGAGGCAGCCGCTGACACCGGTAAGCTGGCAATGCTGCTAATCCCATTATTGCTTGGCGCCGCGTTCTCATTGCCAGCTGCTGGTGCCGCTGACTGCTGTTGTTGTGCGCTGCTTGTCGCATTGCGTCGATCCTTGGGGCAATTAACGTAATCACTGGCCAGGTCCAAGAAGCAGGTGTACGCTATATAATGACCCACTGTTAACGTGGCGCCAACGTGCGTTATGACGCTGTACAACTTGTAAACGTGCAGCTTGTTGGCATCGCTCAGCTCACAGCACTTGGCACAGAAGCAGGGCAGCGTAAATGTTGTGGGCACATAGGTGCTGACCTTCTCCATGCCGCCCGAGAACCGATTCAGTTGGATGACCAGTAGACGGGGCAGCACTTCATACGATATGGAGCGTATGGCCTCAGTGTAGCCCGTACACTGATTGCAGCTGTATTTGTTATCGCCGCGAAAATATTCACGCGTTATGCAAGAGTTCTGAAAAAAAAAAACACAAAGTATATCATCAATGAATCAGTCTTCAATGATTGCATTTCAGCCTTAATAAAAATAATGAATTAATGGGAATTAAGCCTGACTAAATCCAATCGTTGTACGCTATTGTACTTAACGATAATTAGTCTAATGCCTTTGAGCTCCATTGAACTTTTTCTATAGCTGATCTGGTTGCTGTACTAACCTGTATATAGGCGCTGGGTTTTTCCTGCAATTCGGCATTATCATAGCCCGAAATCGGCACAGGTACTGAGATATCGAGCATGCCTTGCTTCTGACGCGTAATTGTTTCACAGCTCAGGCATTTGGTGGTCAGCACCACAATACCTTCAAAATCAGAGTTGAAAAAGTTGATATTCAGCTCGCGGATGCGCTCCTCCAAACGCATTTTATCCTTGAGCAGACTAGCCGTATTGATTTCATCATCACTGGAATATTTTGCAGGTGCGGTCGATGCAGCTGATGCTGTGGTATTAGCACCAGCAGCAGCAGCAGCTGAAGCAGCTGGAGCACCGCTGAGATCGACTGTGTTTAAATAAAAGAGACTATTGGAGGCGACATGGGTGGTTCCTATGCCACCGCCAGCTGTGGTTGGACTATTATCTTTGAGCGGTGACTGCAATCGTGTCGCCTTTGAGGATTTCACTTCATCTTTTCTCTTTGATTTTCGTGAAAAAAATGATGTTTTTGTTGTTGTGGTACTTTGATTTTGACTAGTTGCTATCGAGCCATTGCCGGAAGCGCTCATGAGCGCATGATTTCCCACATCAGAGCGCTCCATGGAATCGACCGTATCCGTATCATCAGGATTGGCAATGTAGCTGCATAAACGAAAAGGCAATCAGTCAATTAATCACATTATTGTCTACCTATAACAGGTACAACTCACCCGTTCGCAATCACTTCCGGACACTCGCCAATGGCCTTTATCAGCGACTGATTCGTTTCGCGTATACAATTCAGCACACACATTAGAAACTCGTGCGCATCCTGCTGTTGATTGCCCTCGAATGTGGCATTGACGTCCTGTATGGCATGCAACAGGGTGTCCGCATGATAGGGCTCACTGGAGTCGGCCATCTCATTGCCATGCAGACTGCTGTACAGATCGTGCAACTTCTCGCTGACCGACTGATGTGTTGACTTCTTGCTTCCGCTGCTGGCGGCGTTGCTGCCGCTGCCATTGCTGGTGCTGTTGTACGGGTCTGTTGTGGCCAGATCTTTGCTGCTCCAGCTGCGTGCGTGCTCCAATTGAGCGCCACCGCTGCCGCTCACGTTGCGGCCCAGCGAGGCGGACTTGGCATTCTGTTGACGCTGTATCGCCTGCTGCACCACATTCAAATCCTGAATCAGATGATGCAAATTGTGCAGGAAATGCGGGGCAAAACGCAGCGTATACACCACCGAATTTAAATAGCAAGTGTTGCCGATGTTGCACAGCGTTCCCATAGTGGGCACATGATTCAATGCTGTACCACCACTGCCATTTAGTCCACTGCCGGGGATGGAGCTGGCGCCGCTCGAATTGCTGCCACCGGCTGGGCCATAATACTGATGGCTCTGCAGTTCGGTTGAATCGTTGTCTCCGGTAACGGATGAATTGCCAGCTCGCAGACCAGGGCCGCCAGACGCATAGCCATTGGCCACGCGCCGCTGTTCGTCTGTGGTTGTTTGATACCGTCGATCGTATAGCGACATGTTGCAGCTGCGTTTGCGTTTGCGAAAAGCGCGCGACGCCGGTTTATTCGAATCAAGCTCGATTTGAGCCGCAGCGATGGCCGCTGCTGTCTCCGCTGAGAAATTAGAATCGGTCTCGATCTTAGAACGACGCTTGCGATTTCTACCGCTGACGTTGACACCTCCGCCACCTCCGCGTCGCTTTCTTCCAGTTACTTTCGGTTCTGGCTCCTCTTCAATGCGATTCCAAAACTCGGGTTTGAAATGTTCTGCAAAAATTGAATCTAATCATTAGCAATTGCCTATTGAATGTATAAGCTCCAGCTGCTTACCTAACTTGATATACTTATGATACTCGGCAGCCTCTGTGGGCGTAGGCGATGACTGTGCTGTCGGTGATGGACTTGACGCTTTCTCCGGTATGGGTGGTAGGTTAACTGCTGCTGGTTGCCTTGATCTTAGACTGGCACAACGCGAGAGCTCTGCCACATAAACACGTCGAGTACGTTTACGCTTTGGCACCGCCTCGATATCTTTGTGGCTTGTTTGTTGGGGCTGTGCGACCTGATCTACGTACTCTTGTATCTCTGGATATATGACCGAACACGTTGGTGCTGGCAGCGACGGCTCACCGGATTCAGTAGTCGTTGCAGATGTTGTGGAAGCTTTGGATTTCAGTAAAGTGTTGGACTTCAACAAAATGTACGTGTTCTGACGTGTTTTTGGGCTTTTATTGTTGGTGGTGGTGTTGTTGCTGCTGATTGGCGGAAGACGTACTTGTTCCTCTTTCAGCTCATATATTTCATATTCGAGCATCTTTCATTATCCTGTCAACAAATTACAAAATGATAAATTCAATTCGAGGATAATATTCATTTATTTATTATATTCTAATTAAGTTTAAGTGACAGTACTATAAACGATCTATTTCAGTAAAGCAATACGAAAACTTTAGGAAAATGAGAAAAAGCAGTGTATAAAAGTTGTCAAAAATGATACCAGTGTTGTAATACATATACATACATATATTTATACGTGTATTTAATTGTTATTGCTACAAAAGCACAAATAGTAAATTATCAGTGATGATAAAAGTTATATGGAACTCGATTTCTTAGAAAATATATTATGACATTCGCACGCACATGATTTTGAAATTCAAGTAAGACGGTCACACTGTCTGCTCTCTGTTTTGTGCGTACCCTTGTGGGTCTAACAGCTGATAATGCTTCCTTCTTTCTCTAACTAAGAGACAATGCTATTTCCTTTTTTTTTTTAAGTGAAGCTTTCTGGCAATGCCATTATGAAAATATAACGATCGCACTTATGAACTAAATTTTGTTCGCATGTGCTGATTGAGTGACTCGTCAGCTCAAATTCAAAATTGTTGTCCGATAAGGTGATAAGAAATTGTATAATAATCAATAATTAATCTTACGTTCAGGTGCTTATGATTCATTTCAGAAAAACTATTTACAAGCAAAGGTGCTTATATGAATCTGATAAATGCGCGTGATTAACTCTCCCAAGCTCTTCACATTTTATTCTGGCTTAAAACTCAAGTTTATTCGTACCAAATGTCCTAACCCCGAATTATTATTTGTGCAATGAACAGCACCCGGCAGGCTAAACAGATTTCCAATTTGAAAATAATTGCGCTCAGTAAATGGGCTAATTATGTAAAGTATAAATCATGGCCGGCTGCTGATGAAAATTTATGGCGACAGGTGGGTAAGCGGGGTTGAAGCGTAGCTTTGGTGAGGTAGGCCAGGGCCAAGCATCGAAGGGGGGCGTTCACAGAGGGCAACAAAGAACAAACAAATATTAATGCGAATGATATGTAGAAGGAGTGAACGTGAACATGAATGTGAACGTTAACTATGTGTATTGCTATTGATTTTGTTGCTGGAATGAAGGTCACATGTCGCACAGGCTGCAAATACAAGTGACGGGAAAAGAGTGCATGATAATGCTAAGGTTACACATTTAGACAGCGCCAATAAGATGGGTTGAGTACACACACACACACACAGCTTCAATTACAGCACGGATCAGCAACAAATGCAAATGCAAAGTAAACAGCTATAATAATAGAAGCAAGATTTGCAAATTTTGCTGGATGCTGTGACATTCATTTTGCAAACGTGTATGGGTGTATGGGTGCGCGTATGTGTTTATGTGTTTTTCGTATATGTATGTATAAATGCGACTCACATATTTGGGGAACAACATTTGCGGGCAGTTGCTATGTTCTGTGTAGCATTGCTTTGAGTAAAATAAACAATTTCAATTGCCGCTGCCAAATGTCATGAAATTTCACTTGCAACGTAACGTAGCGCAACGTAAGAATCATACACACACTCTCACACATACGCACGCATGCAACGCTCCCCGCACTCGTTAAACTGACACCACACACACTCTAATTTTCACTTTTTTTCACTGCGGCGGTTATCGTGTGACTGTCCAACTCTTTTTGTACCTGGTTAGAAAATCTTTCTTCACTGCTGCACTTCAGGGCATTGTAGCGGTGCTGCACTTACACATTAACATTTAATTTATTTATAGTTTCAAGTGGTTTGAGGCACTGAAATTAGTTAAACTTATGCGCCGTAAGCGTACGGCCGCTCTCGGTGGCAGATGATGTTCATTCGTTGTGCTCTCCGCTCGCTACTCGCTACAATCAACAGAGTTTGCTCCCCACCGTAAAATGTTCACTCCTCACTTAACAGCGTGACTGTAAAATCTCTGAAATTGACTCCACACATAACATGACATTTAGCTGCCGATGACAAAACTGCGTGTGTCTTCTTCTTTCTCTCCGGCAGAAATCACGATGTCGACTGGAGTAAGTAAAAAATTCGTCGATTTAATTTGTAAATTATTGTGCAATCATGCATTAATAATTGCCAAATTGTTGCTCAAGAAGTGCAAAAAAGATAGACGCACACAATAAATATTAAATTGAATCTGCAATATGTTTATTTGTAGACACTTTACACTTATCCCGAGAACTTCCGCGCATACAAGGCCCTCATCGCGGCCCAGTACTCTGGCGCAAAGGTGAAAGTGGCCGAGGACTTCAAGTTTGGCGAGTCCAACAAATCGGCGGAATTCCTAAAGAAGTTCCCCTTCGGCAAGGTGAGTCTAGATTTTTCAGTTATTTATATACATATGTATATTGGTGTTGCTTATCGCTTGGGGCGTGGAGCAAAACTCAAAAGCCGGCAACGTCAGCAGCTAAAATATCGCATAGCAGATTTATACGCAAATGAGGTTATTCGCATGGGGAACGTGCGAAATTTTGCCAACTCATAAGTTTTGCTTCTTGGAAGTATTGAAAAGTTTGCGATTATTAACACGTGAGCTGCTGCCAGCTTGCATACATTTTCAGAATAAACCGGCACAACAATATAACGTAACATTTTGTTTTCTAGGTGCCCGCATTTGAGACCGCTGATGGTAAATACCTGAGCGAGTCGAATGCCATTGCCTACTTTTTGGCCAATGAGCAGCTTCGCGGTGGCAAGTGCCCGTTTGCACAGGCTGAGGTGCTGCAATGGACTTCGTTTGCTGACAACGAAATCTTGCCGGTCTCCTGCGCATGGGTGTTCCCACTGCTTGGCATTATGCCACAGCAGAAGAACGCGAATGTCAAGCAGGACGCCGAGGTTGTGCTGCAGCGTCTGAACAAGAAGCTGTTGGATGTTACCTACCTCGTGGGTGAGCGTATCACTCTGGCTGACATTGTTGTGTTCGCCAGCCTGTTGCATCTGTACCAGTACGTGCTGGAGCCGAGTGTGCGCCGTGATTATGTCAATTTGAACCGTTGGTTCGTTACCATTCTGAACCAGCCACAGGTTCAGGCTGTTGTCAAGGATTTCAAGCTGTGCGAGAAGGCACTAGTCTACGATCCCAAGAAGTATGCTGAATTCCAGGCTAAGACCGGAACAAAGCAGCAGCAGCCAGCCAAACAGAAGGAGGAGAAGAAGCCCAAGGAAAAGAAGGAGGCAAAGAAGGAAGAGCCTGAGGAGCTTGATGCTGCCGATGAGGCTTTGGCCGCTGAACCCAAGTCGAAGGATCCCTTCGATGCCCTGCCTAAGGGTACCTTCAACTTTGATGACTTCAAGCGCGTCTATTCCAACGAGGATGAGTCGAAGTCCATTCCTTATTTCTTCGAGAAGTTTGATCCCGAGAACTATTCCATCTGGTTCGGCTCATACAAATACAATGAGGAGCTCTCCAAGGTGTTCATGTCTTGCAATCTGATCACTGGCATGTTCCAGCGCTTGGACAAGATGCGCAAGCAGGCATTCGCCTCAGTGTGCCTTTTCGGCGAGGACAACAACAGCTCCATCTCTGGTGTGTGGGTGTGGCGCGGACAGGAGCTGGCCTTCCCCCTGTCGCCCGACTGGCAGATCGACTACGAGGTCTATGACTGGAAGAAATTGGATCCCAAGAGCGAGGAGACCAAGAAGCTTGTTACCCAGTACTTCTCATGGTCCGGCACCGACAAGGATGGCCGTAAATTCAACCAGGGCAAGATTTTCAAATAAGTTGCAAACACAATATATCTAATCGAGATTCAACATGCAGCAGCGCAGGGCAGCAAGCACGATGCCCATTTCTATTTCTAAGTTCCAACTGATTAGTAACGATATATAAGTGAGTCGGAAAAGTCGTGCTGTATTACCATCTAAATATATATACATAATGTCCTGGTTTGTCCAGCACGCCAAATCTTTTGTATTTCAAATTGTTTTAGCCCTCTGCATTTCTGTTAGAAAACGAATTATGTTTGTAATAAACAAAAAAAAAAAAGAAAGAAAATTTAATGTCAAACAGATCAGCCAGCTAATAGCTTATATACGGGAATTAAAATAAATACGCGTTTTCTACTACTCTCAAATGTCTGAATTCAAGGGAATAACTTAGGGGGAGAGTTGATATATAGAAAGATCTCGCTACATAAGCCCCAATTAATGGTAGTAGAAATCTAATATTGAGGAAGTCTTAAAGCATACATTGAAGTTTTATCCGATGAACCGAATCTATTGCAATTTGGAAACGAGCTGTACTACTTCATTAATTTCGCTAACTTAATAATAAGCTTGCTTAATTTCATTATTATGAATTACATTCATTTAGGCAATCTTTATTGGCTTTCTTTTCAGTTAATTCGTTCAATTTTAGCTTACGGTAAAGTAGGTTGAAAACAATCTATAGAATTTAAAACAATTGATTATTGCAAACTTCAGAAATGTTCGTACTGCCTGCATTTGTATATCAGCAAGGAAATGCTAGAAAAACGCTGCTACTGCGAATCCAGATTTAAATTAGTTTCGCTTGATCACAACCGGTCCGACATTGTCGCCCGTGTTCTTATTGTGCTCGCCGTGGCTGCCATCACAGTAGGGCCACTAAAAGGGATATGGGTAATGACATTAATTAAGCAACCTATAGTAACATCGCGTATATGATATACTCACGTTCTTGGTCTTCCAGCAGCGACAGAAAGCGGCCTTATCCGCGATGTTTTCAATGTCAATCATGTCGACGACCTTCGCCTCGTGTTTCCTTATGTTGTCATTGCAACGGCCAGAGCACGATTTACGCTGAGCTGCGGGACAAAGGGCCTGATACGAGATGTAGCCAATGCCGACAACGACGGCAGTGGGTGGAATGAGTGCCAGCCAATCTTTGACTGCAAAAGATAAAGTACTATTTCAGAAACACTACAATACTTATTGGACTGTTAGTAGGCCAAATCGTGAAGAGCCAATTTTGACCGGCTAATGAAGTTCGCTATGGATAGTAACATTTAATCCATGTCAAATTATGTGCCACACATTAAACTTATCAATAATTGCCTGTTGTTTATCTATGATGCAGATAAAAAGTTGTTGAGCTTTTCTGTGAAAATTCTCGTTTTTTTTACAAAAACAACAAATTCAGCAATGGCGCTTTTTGACCCAAATGTTGCATAATAAGTTGGCTCAGGTGAGCAGCGCTGGGGTAAGCTTTAAAAATATGCACAAAACATGCTAGTGCATGCTAGATAATCACATAGCATTTTACTCAAATTGATCTTATTTAGCTATGTCATTATATATCGTGTAAGACTTGACAGACTTTTTTAGAGCGCCCTTTAGTGCAATTCCAATGTTCAGACAAGCGTGGCACTCACATGATAGTTTAAACCAGCCGCCCACGCTGTCGGGCACCGGCAAGCTGGACAAATAATTTGGCAGACTTGTTTTCACTGCATGCGATAATGATTGCATTTTGGCTTTATTTTTTTGTGCCTTTACAAATAAAACACAATTGTAGTACACAAAAAATCTGTAAGCTAGTTGTTTTTATTGTTGTTGTGTGTAGCTGAGTGACCCTAGCTGAAAAACAGAAATATACTGAAAAATACCAAATATATGCTGGCAAGAATTAAGTACTTTTGACTTCAACAAGAACAATTATTAATTTAAAAAAAATGTATATCTAATTATAAAATCTATATAGATTGAATGTGCTGTAGGTTTGTAAGTATAATTTCAAGTATTTTCTTAAATACAGTCCTAAAAATAACTTTTTTTTTATTAAGTTTCTTAGTAACAGTTACATCAAGACTGCTCATCTCTATTAGCGCTCATCTCTATCTGTACACGGCGCTTGTGAAATATTTGTTTGCGGCTTTTGTACATCAAATAATATTAACAAATGAGCCGCGCTCCTCTTGACACTTGGACCAAACGCGAACAACTATGCCTGGCATCAGCAGTTTCGTGCAGTGGAGACCAGAATTGGATAACAGTTAGCCGCACACTGAAAACAGTTTGTGGCAATGGAAATTCTCGACCCGCGGATTGGTATTCTCAGAAAAACTGTGCCGTCCAGTATGGCCACCTTCTGGAGACGGTTGAGACCACGAAACGCAAGAAGCGCACGAACGAAAGCAGTGGCTTCTCTTCTCCGGCTACCGTGGTCGTGGAGACTCCCACAGAGATCCTGCTGCGACGGCTAACGGAAGAGCGCCTGCTGGAAGTCAAAACTCAGATGCGCCGAGATCAGGAGCTGTATAGCAAGGTGCAACGGGAAATTGAGGCCTTGCAATCGGATGAAATAACAGAGCAGGAGCTGCAGAGGATGTGGCAGGAAATAGAAAAGGAACAGGAAACGAAGCGCATCGATGAAATGAAGCTGGAGAATCGAATGCGGGAGCGCGAGCAACGGAAAAAGGATACTGCTGGCAACTGGCGTAACAGAGAAAGTGCAACAGGAAGACGCTCCAACCTTGCTGCCGACACAACTTCCGTGGATATGGATGTGGAGGACATTCCAGGTTTGTTTACAACGAGTCCGGGTTCTATGAATGCATTACATATATTAAAGTAAATCTTCTTCTAGCCGCCAACCCAGCTGGGAACAGTAATAAGCAGCAAGCAGCTCCCGCTCCCTTGCTAACATCGCTACTCAAATCGCCTGGCGGCAGCAATAGCAACACTGCCACATCGCCAACAGGCAGCTCCGCGGGCACAGGCGTGGCACGTGCAACGGCAACGGCGCCAACGATAACTTCGCTGCTGACAAGTGGCGCCAGTGCCATGCCCAGTCAACCGGCAGTCATATTGAAAAGTTCAAACGATCCAGAATTTATGAC